ATGCTGCCCCCCACGTCGGCGCCTGCGGGGAGGCCGGGGTGCTGTTAGGAGAACCACCCGCCAACCCCCGCAGCAGAGCTGGATGCCTGGGACGGAGCACACCCCCCAACTCGCCCCCTGCACCCTCAGCCTCCTACACGGGCTGCCTTGGCACATGCCTGACACGCTGCAGTCACATGCAGTCACTGTGGGGTGGCTGGCAGCACCCCAGGGCAACCCCCCCAGTCTGGACTGTGCCCTGGTATGTCCCAGAGCCCTTGTGAAGATGGGGAAACGAGCTGGATGCCTGGGACGGAGCACACCCCCCAACTCGCCCCCTGCACCCTCAGCCTCCTACACGGGCTGCCTTGGCACATGCCTGACACGCTGCAGTCACATGCAGTCACTGTGGGGTGGCTGGCAGCACCCCAGGGCAACCCCCCCAGTCTGGACTGTGCCCTGGTATGTCCCAGAGCCCTTGTGAAGATGGGGAAACTGAGGCACGGGGAAGGGTGGAGAAGCTCAGAGTCCAACTGGTGAAATCAGGATAGAACCTGGGAGCACCGAGTGCCTGTTCCAACCACTAGCCCCCACTCCCCTCCTGGAGCTGGGAGACACCCCAAGAGCCTTGGCTCTAGCCTGTTGCTCTAAGGCCCTCCCCGGCACAGCCTCCCTGACCCCTGGGGCCCTGGCGGGGCGTTAGAGCAGCCGGTACCTTCCACTCCCTTGTATTTCAGGTACAGCTCCTGCAGCTCCTCTTCCTCCTGCTGAGTCCACTTGGAGGCCCTGCGGGCCCCAGCACTGGGGGAAGCAGAGACCCGGTAAGGTGCTGCCAGCGTCAGAGACTCTCCCCTCCCTGCTGGGACCCCAGGGCTCGCCACCCGCCTGGCCCTAGGCCTGCAAACCCGCCTTAAAGGGAGTGCCCAGGGCCCCTCTCCCCAAGAGCCACCCCCGGGCGCAGGGGCGGCTGGGGATCAGGGCACGCTGTCCCAGGGCCCGGCCTCACCCCTCTCCTTCCCGCAGCGAGCTGTAGCCCTCTGTCATCTCCCGCACGGTGGCCGTGCTCTTCCAGAACAGCAGCTCCACGTAGGCCTTCTTGTTGGTGGCTGCCAGGGCAAAGAACTTGCCCAGGATGTATTTGGCGAAGATCACCAGCTCCTGGGGAGGGAGGAAGGGGGGGGGTAAGATTAGAGGCTTCACAACCCCATAAGCCCCCACCCCAGCACCAAACCGGAGTCCTTCTGGTCAGAGCACATGAGCCTGGAACGCTTGAGCCAACAGAGCAGCTTCACCGGGATAGCAGTAGTAGTAGGGCTGTTATCTGCACAGCTGGAGCAGGTGTGAATGAGAGAGGAGGACGACGCACGGCATCGTGGGTATTCTCGGCTTCCCCGGGGCCAGCAGGGAGCTGAGCTTAGCCCAGAGCAACCCAAAGCTGCTCTACCACACAGGGACGCTCGGACGTTCGAGCCTCCTCTCCCCGGCGCCGGCCCTCCCTCCTGGCGAGGTGGCGAAGGGCCAGCCCTGCGCGGGGGCGGCTCCCTCACCTTGTAGGCGGCGGCCGAGGGGTCGCTGAGCAGGCGCTGAAAGAGGCAGAAGACAGAGAGCTGGAAGAGCAGCGCCTCCATCTTGAGGTCGTAGGCGATGCGATGCAGCATCTTGGCCACGCAGTGGTTGGTGTGGGCGCTGTTCTGACGGTAGCTCCGGAGCAGCAGGACGTAGGCCTTGACCACACTGGTGCTGGCGAACCTACCCCCCCAACCCACGGTGGGTGAGCAAAGGATCATGGGACAGCGGAGGGCCAAGGCCCCTTCCTCACACCCAGAGGCTCAGCCTCCAGGAGGTAGGGACCAGCAGAGCCCACACAACGTCCCCCCACCCGCTTCCGTAGCCGCAAAGACGAGCCGCGGATACCTGCGGACTTGCAGGGCTCTATGGGAAACTGAGGCAAGGCCACAGAGTGCCAGGAGTCCTGCCCCCCGCTTTCCAACTGCTGCGCTTTAGCCGCCTTCCTTCCCCTCAGCATCTCATCCCCCGCCCCGAACACCTCTGCATCCCCCTGCACCCCCCTGAGCCCTGCCACCCCAGGATCTGGGGCCCCTCACATTCCACGCAGGAGCCCAGCCGGGGAGAGCATGCCCCAGGCCTGCTGGCCCGACCCCCACGGCCCCCCTCAACTCTTTTTCCGACACCTGGACAGACGCCAGCTCTTCCTCCTCCTCGTCTTCCTCCCCCTCCTCCTCCTCCCCCGGCTCCCCGCTTGCCCTGCGAGTCCCAGACACCAGGATGACGGGGACGCGGTGCCACCAGGCCCAGGAGGCCTCCAGAGGCGCCGCCTCCTTACCCCGGGGCTGCCCGCCCATCCCTGCCTCACACACAGCCCGGGCCCTGGGGG